TCTTCCCTCCATCTGAAGCACCTTCAGTTCTCCGATGTGCTCCTCCTGTATCGCGTTCAGGCGCTGCTCTAAATTGGCTGCGAGACAGCAAGGCAGAAACAGAGGTGCATTGCACTGAGCCCGGCTTCTCAGGCTTCCGAGAGCAGACACCAAACTGGGAGGGGTGGCTAACACCCCAGAGGACAGGATCACATTTCAAAACGACCTTGACAGATTAGAGAACTGGGCCAAAACAAACAAGATGAATTTTAACAGGGAGAAATGTAAAGTATTGCACTTGGGCAAAAAAATGAGAGGCACAAATACAAGATGGGTGACACCTGGCTTGAGAGCCGTACATGTGAAAAGGATCTAGGAGTCTTGGTTGACCACAAACTTGACATGAGCCAACAGTGTGACGCGGCAGCTCAAAAAGCCAATGCAATTCTGGGCCTCATCAATAGGAGTATAGCATCTAGATCAAGGGAAGTAATAGTGCCACTGTATTCTGCTCTGGTCAGACCTCACCTGGAGTACTGTGTCCAGTTCTGGGCACCACAGTTCAAGAAGGACACTGACAAACTGGAACGTGTCCAGAGGAGGGCAACCAAAATGGTCAAAGGCCTGGAAACGATGCCTTATGAGGAACGGCTAAGGGAGCTGGGCATGTTTAGCCTGGAGAAGAGGAGGTTAAGGGGTGATATGATAGCCATGTTCAAATATATAAAAGGATGTCACATAGAGGAGGGAGAAAGGTTGTTTTCTGCTGCTCCAGAGAAGCGGACACGGAGCAATGGATCCAAACTACAAGAAAGAAGTTTCCACCTAAACATTAGGAAGAACTTCCTGACAGTAAGAGCTCTTCGACAGTGGAATTTGCTGCCAAGGAGTGTGGTGGAGTCTCCTTCTTTGGAGGTCTTTAAGCGGAGGCTTGACAACCATATGTCAGGAGTGCTCTGATGGTGTTTCCTGCTTGGCAGGGAGTTGGACTCGATGGCCCTTGTGGTCTCTTCCAACTCTATGATTCTATGATTCTACCATGTTAAAGGTTTCTTTGCCCGATTTGAAATGTGAAGTATGCTTCAATGCCGCACCCAAAAATGGTTCAGAGCAAAGGTGGGGGACTGGTGGCCTGCCGTTTCGAACCAGCCAGTGGGAGTGGCTGCTGAGACCATCTAACACCGGTCCTAAAAGACCTACATTGGCTCCCAGTACGTTTCCGAGCACAATTCAAAGTGTTGGTGCTGACCTTCAAATCCCTAAACGGCCTCGGTCCAGTATACCTGAAGGAGCGTCTCCACCCCCATCGTTCAGCCCAGACACTGAGGTCCGGCTCCGAGGGTCTTCTGGCGGTTCCCTCCCTGCGAGAAGTGAGGTTACAGGGAACCAGGCAGAGGGCCTTCTCGGTAGTGGCACCCACCCTGTGGAACGCTCTCCCATCAGATGTCAAGGAGATAAACAACTATTGACTTTTAGAAGACACTCCGGTTTTGGGAAGTGTTTAATGTTTGATGTTTTATCATGTTTTTAATATTCTGTTGGGAGCTGCCCAGAGTGGCTGGGGAAACACAGCCAGAGGGTGGGGTATAAATAATAAATATTATTTATTATATTATTACTACTCAGATATATGTTAGGTGCCAAATGGCTCCTCAAACAAGGGTTACAGTCGCCAAAACGTAATGCCTAGTTGCCATTTTGGTGCCGGGCGGCTCGAAAGTCCTGTTTTTCAATTCGACTTTCAGGTTACTGAAATTCATTCTGATTGTGCAGATAAAAATGTGATGGATAGAATTCTACAGGATGTGTTGCTAGTGTGTGAAAACAGTCAAGACACAATGAACCCCAGGCATGCACCTCCAGATGATGGAAACATCTGGTGCCATCCTGGTGCCGCAAGTGGCCAATAGCCAGGTGCAAAATTTTGAACATGGAATCGGCCTAACGAGACTGCCCGAGTGGCTTGCGAGCCCCTCATTCATTTTATCAGTGGCAGCATCGCTGCCGGAAGAAATACAGTGGTACCTCGGGTTACATACGCTTCAGGTTACATATGCTTCAGGTTACACACTCCGCTAACCCAGAAATAGTGCTTCAGGTTAAGAACTTTGCTTCAGGATAAGAACAGAAATCGGGCTCCAGCAGCGCGGCGGCAGCAGGAGGCCCCATTAGCTAAAGTGATGCTTCAGGTTAAGAACAGTTTCATGGGAGAGAGCAAGTGAGAGCTGGACCATAAAGAAGGCTGATCGCCGAAGAATTGATGCTATTGAATTATGGTGCTGGAGGAGACTCTTGAGAGTCCCATGGACAGCAAGACGATCAAACCTATCCATTCTGAAGGAAATCAGCCCTGAGTGCTCACTGGAAGGACAGATCCTGAAGCTGAGACTCCAATACCTTGGCCACCTCATAAGAAGAGAAGGTTCCCTGGAAAAGACCCTGATGTTGGGAAAGATGGAGGGCACAAGGAGAAGGGGACGACAGAGGACGAGATGGTTGGACAGTGTTCTCGAAGCTACCAGCATGAGTTTGACCAAACTGCGGGAAGCAGTGGAAGACAGGAGTGCCTGGCGTGCTCTGGTCCGTGGGGTCACGAAGAGTCGGACACGACTAAACAACCACCCATGAATCTAACGTCATTGCATGCACCAGCCTTTGGTTCCCACCTTCTGAAGTTACCTGCATGCTTTGGGTTCAGCTCTTTTTCCGTCTGCAGCCGGAACATACTTAGCTTCATGGTCTGCACAACGCTTTCGAGCCGGCACATCCGATTCACGAGACTTTCGCAGGTCTGCCACAGTGTGTCCTTTGCGCCACCAAATGCCGTTCTGGCACGGACGGGGCTGATGGTCTGGTGGCCTTCAGAGTTCTCTGTGGGTTTCGAAGGGAAAAGTTCCATGCTGGAAGAAATAAGATGCCCATTCGTTGCTGCGATTCCACATGTGCATATCATATCCTTGGTATTACGCGCACATTATCTGCCTGCATGGCTGCAATCTGGAGCTCAGCTAAGAGGCAAAACCCATTTCTCGCTGCAAATTGCGTAGGGCAGGGGTCCCTGAATTCACCTCCTTCCCTTTTTGCCATACAAGTGAACTGTGGGAAATCCCACAGTTGGGGACTATAGTTACTCATCACCCCTAAAACATGGGTGTAGCCCCCATCAAGTAAAACAATAGAAATACTTACCTAACTGACCAATCAGGCCAGTTCTCCCACTCCCTAAACAAAAGTCCTGCCCCTCCCCAACAAAAATCCTGGCTACGCCCATGCCCTGAAAGATAATCCACTCTCACCAACAGGGAATCCATGGAAGATGTACATACACAGAGAGTTCCCTCATTTGGATAATAAGCTCAACTTCGGTTTAGCACCACAGGCAAAAGTATCACAGGCTCAACTGCTTCCTCGCCATCACCTCCCGCTTCCAGCACAGCCGCAAAGAGGAGATCAGAGGCTTTCTCCTCTGTTTTTAATTACAGCAGTTTATTATTATATCCAAACATGGTAAAATTGTGGTTAGTCTCAGCTATGGTTTCTAGTAACAAGCCAACTTCCAACTCTGGAAACAAGGCAGGAGTCACCACCAATGGCCAGGGATGATGGGACTTGTAGTCCAGCAGCATCAGTAGGGCACCACCACTGCACTAGGGCAGTTTCCCAAACTTGGGTCTCCAGCCGTTTTTGGACTACAATTGCCATCATCCCTGACCCGTGGTCCTACTAGCTAGAGATGATGGGAGTTGTAGTCCAAAAACAGCTGGAGCCTCAAGTTTGGGAAACCCTGCATTAGCGTTTCTCAAACTTGGATCCCCAACTGTTGTTGGACTACAACTCCCATCATCCCTAGCTGGCAGGACCACTGGTGGGCACACCTGCCAGTGATCAATTAAGCAAGGGCATTTGATTAGCAGCCCCTGTCTGCTACTTAGCCTCTTAATTCCTATGGAAGCAGTAAGGGTGTATTTACTTTTTCACACATGATTTCTCCATCTTGGCTTTATTTCTGTTAAATAAATCATGACACGGTATAATATGTCATGTGTTGTTGTTTTTGTTCATCTGAGGTTGCATTTACCTAATTTTAAGACCTGCTAAGTAACAAATAGGGACGCGGGTGGCGCTGTGGGTTAAAACACAGAGCCTAGGACTTGCCGATCAGAAGATCAGCGGTTCGAATCCCCGCCACGTGGTGAGCTCCTGTTGCTTGGTCCCTGCTCCTACCAACCTAGCAGTTCGAAAGCATGTCAAAGTGCAAGTAGATAAATAGGTACCGCTCTGGTGGGAAAGTAAACGGCATTTCCGTTATGCTGCTCTGGTTCGCCAGAAGCGGCTTAGTCATGCTGGTCACATGACCCAGAAGCTCTACGCTGGCTCCCTCGGCCAGTAAAGCGAGATGAGCGCCGCAACCCCAGAGTCGGTCACGACTGGACCTAATGGTCAGGGGTCCCTTTACCTTTACGGAACAAATGATTGCTATTATGTCCCGATATGTAAACCCACAGAATTTGAAGAGGGTGCACTTTCTTTTTCCCCATGACTGTAAATAAAAAGGTCTGATCTTTATGTCAATACCTGATTCACTTCAGTGCCCTTCATCTGCAACAAAACTTAACTACATCGACTCAAAACAATACGGTATTGTTTCAGAAGACTGATTAAAATCAGAATACATTAACTTCTTAATAACTTGGATGCTGGTTGCAAAGGCCAGTCAGACGTTCAGAAAGAGGGAAGATCACACAAATAAAGGAAAATGCAGAACGAAGGTTTTAGTCCTGTGTTTACATCCCTGGAAATTACCGTGGAACTTACTTCCATGTAAACATTCATACATTTGTGCTTCAAAGCATTTATTTTGACTATACCTTTGTCCATCAATGCCCAGCGTATGCAGTTCTTTCAAAAGCGCATTTGTCTGCTCTTCAACTACTTTCATCCTCTGGCTGAGCACCACAAAGGTTTCAGGAGCTGTTGAATGGACACTCACTGGGAAGATTATTGGCCTTGCCATCACAGTCTCAGCATTCAACATTTAACTGCAAACATAAAGTCAGAGATACCTCTTGATCATCCAATGGAAAGAGAGAGAAGCAGAACATCAAAAGAAGAGAACTGAGTCAATGAGATTACTACTACTACTACTACTACTAATAAATTTTATTTATACCCCGCCCTCCCCAGCCAAGACTGGGCTCAGGGCAGCTAACAACCAATAATAAAAACAAGTTGATTAAAATACAATTTAAAAAAACAAGATTAAAATACAACATTAAAACATTAAGATGCAGCCTCTTCACAGGAGGAGAAAGGAAAAAGAAAGAGGGGGAAGGAATCAAACTGATTCTAAGCCAAAGGCCAGGTGGAACAACTCTGTCTTACAGGTCCTGCGGAAAGAAATCAGATCCCGCAGGGCCCTGGTCTCATGAGACAGAGTGTTCCACCAGGCCGGAGCCAGGGTTGAAAAGGCCCTGCCTCTGGTTGAAGCCAATCTAACTTCCTTAGGGCCCAGGACCGCTAAGGTGTTGCTATTTATTGACCTTAAGGTCCTCCGTGGGGCATACCAGGAGAGGCGGTCCCGTAGGTACGAGGTACTACATCTCTAATAGGGCCCAGAGGATTATCTATGCCATGGCTTACCCTTAAGAATCCTGGGGATTTTGAATTAGGTGAAGATGCTAAAAATTCTCTATTTAAAATCCCAGTATCCACTTTCACAAAATGCATGGTCTCTCTAAACACTAGAACTGATTGGCAGTAGATGGAGCATAATGAACCAAAGAAATGACTTCTTCCGACAACACGCAATTAATTTATATCAGTGGCTGTGATTTGGAACACCTGCTGCAGAAGCAGTGCACCTCCAATTTATTGGAGGAACGGGACAGGATTCGTGGCAGACTCTTCGTCTGCTCACAGCTCCCCCCCTCGCCTTTCAATCCCAGGTGTTTCCACTGAAAAAGACCAGTTAAGCAGGTGGCAATGGCTCTAAGTGAGTGAGAGAGAGAGACACACACTTCAAGTCAAAGCAGACAATACAGCTGAAACATCCTAGGTGTTCAAAGGCAGCTTCACATGTTCCTTACAAAACAGACCCCAGGGAGAAACAACTGAGTGGAAGTCAGCTGCTATCACCTTGATGCCTTTGCGTTTTGGGTTTCCAGGGTCACCTGGTTGGCCCGTTTGCAGGCAGAAGCGATATCAGGAAGAAACATCACAGACAGAATAATTGCCAAACACAGGTTATAGATTGCGTGCCTCACTTGTAGTTTCATAAATCATTTAATGCGTCAATAAGAATGGAAGTTGTTAATATTGCAGTTGTTGCATAGGGGATTATCTTGACTTTAGTGTAATTGAAATTAATAAGATTTTGGAATGCAGAAATGAAGAAAACAATCAAACCATTCATTCTAGCACGTGGGAGGGGACCTAAACTATATAACTTGGTATCGGAATGTTTGGTATTAGTAATTGTATTATAATTTGGCATTGTTATAATGAGGCTATTAATGGACTGTAATTGAAAACTAATAAGAATTATCATTTTCAATCCATCCCAGTGATATCATTTCCCCGTGTTCTTCCTTCTCCTTCCAACCATTCCCTGCAGCTGAGACTCCAGTATATAATCATTTAGTTTTGAAAAAATACTATTAATATAAACTTGAAAACATGGGTGTAGCCAGGATTTATGTGGGGTGGGGGACCCAGAACTGAGCTATCTGCAACAAGATTGGTCAGTTAGTTATTTTTATTTATTTACTTGATTGGGGAGGGGGGCAGCTGCACCCCCTCCCCCCTAGCTACGCCCATGCTTACAAAACCGATATTGGCAAGATGCAGAAACAACAAAACCGTCACTTAAGAAGTGAAAGTGCTCACCGTTTTCAAATCCCCAAGACTTGCTGCAAAAGGCCAATACAAATGATAACAAAACAGATATCCCTACCTATCTCTAATCCCCACCCCTTAATTAAATCACTATTATTATTATTATTATTAGCAACCCCTAAGCAGCGCACCCAGTCTGCTGGTGCCTGGCTATTTTGCGCCCTAGGGGAGGCTAACTTATTTGCACACACCCCAACCTGGAGGGGGGGAGAATAAAAAAAAATTGCTAACTTCCATTTCCAAAAAAACCAGAAACGATAGGATTCTTGGAAATCCAAAAGCAAAAAAATCACCAGTTTTTTTTTTTAAAAACAAAAGCTAATCTGTATAGAAACGGTGCCCCTCAACGGTCAATAAACGAGGTCTGCTTCCCAGTTGGCCTAATTGATGGATTACTGATTACTGATCGCACCGGCTCTGAGATGTGCAGCTGATCCTCCTTTTCCTCGCCTCGCCCTGCACACTCCGGATCCACTTCACTTTCTTCCTTCTTTGCAACTTACCGCTTTCCCTAGAGGCGGCGGGATGCGCCCCGGCTCTCCGTCTCCCCGGCTACCTCCGGAGCGCAGCGGCCGCGGATTCCTCCTCCTCTCCGCCCCGCGCCGCTGCGCGCGGGGTACGTTTCCATGGAGCTCCTCCCCGGCTTCAAACCGACATGCTTTGCCCCAAAGGGGCGGCCACTTTCGCTGCATTATGGGACTTGTAGTCCTTCCCTCCCCCCACTTGCCCAACGTAGCAGGATCTTAATGGGGAAATGATTGCGCGCGGGGAAGCTGCGCGCAGGATCAAGTTCAATGCAAACCAAAACACCGCCTCGGTGCAGAGAAGCGCACCGGGATGGGTCGTTTCTGGGTGCGCGCGTTTTTGTTTGTTTTTTGTCGCTGCAGCTCTTGCTGGATTTCAGAAAGTGTTGTTTCCTATCTGTCTGTCTGTTTCTCTGCCTGGAACTCAAGAGCTGAAGGTCGCCCACGGTAAATATGTGGCGGGCTCATACATACAACAAAAGCTAGTGTTACGGTAACGTTGGGCGCCAACTGTTACGGTAAAATCTGGGTGCGGGGCTACTCTGCCACCCAGCTCGTCGGACTAGGTCCGCGGGTCCCTGCGGAAGAAAATGAGCTCAGCCGGAGACAGGAGCAAACTGCAGAAGATCCAAGTTTATTGCGCAACAGGTTCAAGGCGAGATTGAACAGCGAGAAAGGGGTGACATGAACTTTTGAAATTTCCCTCCATGTCCCAGAATACAGTGCAAAATACATCCCAGTTACATCATGAATACATTAAGAAGAGGTTGGGTTACGCAGATTACATCATGAATACATTAAGAAGAGGTTGGGCTACACAGGATTAACATAGGGAGGGGGGAATATGCAGAGCTGGAGATATGCGCAGATAAGCACATCCTGAGTACCTGATGAGAAGACAATGGTCCATGTATGCATGGTCTGCCACCTGGCCTTGCCCGGAGGAAAGGCTTGGCAGAGTGATTTGACAGGATTAGGGTCTTGACACCTTGCTTGAGGGATTATGGAGGACAGGGGAGGTGTCATGGAGTCCTAGAGAAATTGAGCAAATTGGCACGTTGATTTTCTATGAATTTTATAGATTTTAGTCCCTTTTGACATTGACAATTGGAAATAAATGGATATATTGTAGCGAAGAAGGAGGTGAAGAAGACATGCCCCCCCCCTCCGTATCAGCTAGAAACCCATTATGGCTCACACTATACCCATATAGCCGAATGGTTCTTTTCCCCCTGCATAATAAGCAACGATGTGGGAAATTATACCAAAACCAGGAAGAATCAAGACACACACTTCTGGGTGACCAAAGAATCAGAATGATTGTTGGTAAAGGATTGGGTCTCCTCCTCCTGCTGGGTCAAAAAATGATGTACAGTGGTACCTCGGGTTAAGTACTTAATTCGTTCTGGAGGTCTGTACTTAACCTGAAACTGTTCTTAACCTGAAGCACCACTTTAGCTAATGGGGCCTCCCGCTGCTGCCGCACCGCCAGAGCACAATTTCTGTTCTCATCCTGAAGCAAAGTTGTTAACCCAAGGTATTATTTCTGGGTTAGCGGAGTCTGTAACCTGAAGCGTATGTAACCTGAAGCGTCTGTAACCTGAGATACCACTGTACTGCTAACAGACCGAAATCTAAATACAGTGGTACCTCGGGTTACATATGCTTCAGGTTACATACGCTTCAGGTTACAGACTCTGCTAACCCAAAAATAGTGCTTCTCGAAACCGAAGGTATGACTTTGTATTTCTTATAAAAATTGATACATTCTGTTCTGCAAAGTTCACAACTTAAGTTTTCAATCCAAGTGGTTTAAAAACATTGCTTACTGAACTTTTAAAAATAAAAGGATAAAATAAAGAGGTTTGATACATTTTTTATAAAAAATAATGATATACAAACATATCATAAGCATAAATGTTTCTAATAAACAATTAGCTTTCTTGGTTGCTAAATACATAAGTTGTCTCTAGTGCTTCTGCTAATTAGATTTACGAACTTCCTAAAGTCACGTTTAAAATTGCAAAACGCATTCTAGAGTGGCAAGACTTGCCAGAATGTTCTGTGTACATTTCATTTTCACTCCATGGAAAGTAGTTGGCAGAGTCAATATGTTGATGTTTTGGAATAGTCTGTTTCATGGGGAAACCATCAAGTTCCCCTTATTTAAAGGCCATTTGAATTAAATACCATTAAAGAGCATTTGAATTCAGAAATGAAATGAAAACAAAATTCGTGTTGTCCGCGGATTGGCAAACTCATGTCACAAGGGAAGCAGACAGAAATATTTTGAGGCTGCCTGCCGTCAGTCTCTTACAAAGCTTTCAGCTCCATCAATTAGTACCGAAGCTGATGAGAGCTGTGGGCATTACATTCCACTGGACACCCCTTCCTTGGCATTTCACCCTGTCTCTGGCTTTGCATAATCTGATAACCAATCTGCTGTGTTCCGATTAATTAAATTATCTGGTATTTCTGGTTTGAAATGGCTCGGGTTTAATCAAGATGCACTGGACTTTGTGATTTGTGGTTTGGGAGATAGGCGGCGGGGAACATTTGTGGCAGGGAAGAGGGAGGCGGGGGAGCGATCAGAAGGTTGGGCTATATTTATGGCGCTCTTTCTCAACAGTGTTTCAATAGCTGCATGCCCAAGAATGAACAATAAAAAATAAAAATGGAAGGATGTTGTATTTGCTTTATGCTGCTGCTGTGGTATGAATGATAATATGCAGCAATCCCACCAAACCAGCTTGCCAGAATGTATAAAAACCAGGATAAAACTTGCTGGAAATGCAGGGAGAAGGAGGGGAATTTCTTGCATATGTGGTGGACTTGCTCCAAGATTAAAACCTTTTGGGATAGTATATACAATGAATTGAAACAGGTATTTAAGTATAATTTCAGTAAAAAATCAGAGGCTTTCCTGTTGGGGTTAATTGAGGAAATTGAAGTAAAAGATATAAATTTGTTCATGTATGCAACAACGGCCGCAAGAATACTCCTGGCCCAGAAATGGAAGCGACAAGAACTCCCCACATTGGAAGGTTGGCAAGTAAAGATGGTTGAATATGTGGAGCTAGTGAAGCTGATGGGGAAGATTCGTAATCACGATGATTTGTTTCAAAAGGGGCACATTTATACTCTATATGAAAGAAAACGGTAAACAGCTGAATACATTTGTAGGTTAAAGTTGAAATGTTTGGTAATGGGGAATTAAGAAGTTGATTTACTTATAAGAAGGTGATTGTTAAAAGATTGATTTAAGGTAAAAAAGTGAATTTAGGAATGTGGAGAAATCGGTAATGAGATATGGAAGTCCGTTTGAGGGAAGGAAGGAGGTGGATGCTTTGTTTAAGCAATGTTTTAAGTCATGAATTATTATTATTATTATTATTTAATTCGTTGATACTGAAATGTAATAAAATATGGAAAATTTAATAAAACTTATATTTTAAAAAAAGATAATATGCAGCAATCCCTTGGCATAAGAAGTGTCCTTTAAAATTTTATACACACACATACACAAACGTACATATTGAAAGCCATTCAGAGGATAATTATAGATAATAAGCAGCTATTTGTATTGTGTCCAAGGCTAGCATTTATCTTTTGCTGATAGAGGCACTCTGACTAGGCAGGCTGTCACATCTAGCACCATCAGATGTTTCTAGTCTTTAAGAGCAGTCCCTTGAAAAGTACATTGCAGTAGTCAATCTGTATAACTACCAAGGCAAGGTCTCTGATCTCCAAGTAGGAACTCAGCCATATTAAACCGACAAAAAGTTGGGCTTTTTTAAAAGATCAGCAGCACTCATTTTGCACTTGCACACCATGGTGTGTGTATCTATCTTTGTGCAAAATAGGGACTGTGGAACATCCCCATTTTAGCCGGTACAGTGGTACCTCGGGTTGCATACGCTTCAGGTTACATACACTTCAGGTTACAGACTCCGCTAACCCAGAAATAGTGCTTCAGGTTAAGAACTTTCCTTCAGGATGAGAACAGAAATCGTGCAGTGGTGGCGCAGCAACAGCAGGAGGCCCCATTAGCTAAAGTGGTCTTCAGGTTAAGAACAGTTTCAGGTTAAGTACGGACCTCCGGAACGAATTAAGTGCTTAACCTGAGGTACCACTGTACCTCTTCTATATGGGGTTACTCCCACAACCACCAATACTTTCAGTCCCTGAGGAAGTTGCAGTCTGGAAATCTAATACAGTGGTACCTAAGGTTAAGTACTTAATTCGTTCCGGAGGTCTGTACTTAACCTGAAACTGTTCTTAACCTGAAGCACCACTTTAGCTAATGGTGCCTCCCGCTTCCACGCCACCAGAGCATGATTTCTGTTCTCATCCTGAAGCAAAGTTCTTAACCTGAAGCACTATTTCTGGGTTAGTGGAGTCTGTAACCTGAAGCGTATGTAACCCGAGGTACCACTGTAGCAACCTAAATAAACCCCTATACCAAGAGTAGAAAAAGCAACTTCTATTTAGGTCAAATTAAAACTTTTGAAGGTCCGATCCTAATTTGAGCAAGATATTCAGTGACAATATTTGGCAAAGGACTCTCGTTTTTAGAAAGCACCCTATGAATTTTGCAATGAATTCTGTCAGATGAAACAAGGTTCATCATTTGGCTTTCAGTAAAGAGCAAATTGATCTCCTTTTCTCTCCCCCCCCCCCATTTGTTTGAGAAGCTGCCATTCAGTCAGAAGAGATGGTGCCAACAGAAATATAACACATTAAAGTTGCGGAACCCCCCTTTCTGTTCTTTTTAATATGGTTCACCCAGACAGCAGCATATCTGATCAAAGCACATGCTGCTAAGAAAAGAGAGAGAAATTTTTTGATATATTTTGTGTAACAGGCTTTTACTATTGCCTCTTAAGGACTGGAAAAGTATATACAGTATTTCCAATTCTGCCTTAAGTTGCTGCATTTATTAAAATTGTATCACAAGTCTGAGTTCAGATCTCCTGCTATCAAAATGCCTTAACTGTCAGTAAGTTGACATGATTCGGGACAGGGGATGGTAATGGCTAAAAGTCCAGGAATCTGTTTCTACTATCTTAGGCATGGGTAGGCAAACTAAGGCCCGGGGGGTGGATCCGGCCCAATCCAGTCTGCAGACGGTCCGGAAATCAGCGTGTTTTTACATGAGTAGAATGTGTGCTTTTATTTATTTATCTGGGTTGGGGGGGAATTGTCATCGCGCCACTCCTTGGTGTGTGGAGTACCTCAGGGTGCGATACTCTCCCCGATGCTTTTCAACATCTTTATGCGCCCCCTCGCCCAGCTTGTTCAGAGTTTTGGGCTGGGTTGCCATCAGTATGCCGATGACACCCAACTCTATCTGTTGATGGATGGCCATCCTGACTCGGCCCCAGACACACTGACCAGATGTTTGGAAGCTGTGGCTGGATGGTTACGTGGGAGCCGGTTGAAGCTAAATCCTTCGAAGACAGAGGTCCTGTGGCTGGGACGGGGCAATATGAGATTGGGGGGGCAACTCCCATCTCTTGCGGGGGCGCAATTAGTGCCAGCACCGTCCGTTAAGAGTTTGGGTGTAATCTTCAACACCTCCCTTTCCATGGAGGCGCAGATTGCAGCTATAACAAAGGCGGCATTTTTCCATCTCCGCCAAGCTAAGCAGTTGGCCCCTTATCTCTCTCGCCCTGACCTAGCCACTGTGATCCACGCGATGGTCACCTCCAGACTGGATTATTGTAACTCGCTCTACGTGGGGCTGCCCTTGAGACTGACCCAGAAACTCCAGCGGGTGCAGAATGCCGCGGCGAGACTCCTTATGGGGTCTTCGCTGCGAGATCACATTCACCCGGTGCTATACCAGCTGCACTGGCTCCCGGTGGAGTACAGGATCAGGTTTAAGGTGCTGGTTTTAACCTTTAAAGCCCTATACGGCCTAGGACCCTCGTACCTACGGGACCGCCTCTCCTGGTATGCCCCACAGAGAAACTTACGGTCTTCAAATAAAAACATCCTGAAGGTCCCAGGCCACAGAGAAGTTAGGCTGGCCTCAACTAGAGCCAGGGCTTTTTCGGCTGTGGCTCCGATCTGGTGGAACGCTCTGTCACAAGAGACCAGGGCCCTGCGGGACTTGACATCTTTCCGCAGGGCCTGCAAGACAGAGCTGTTCCACCAGGCCTTTGGCCAGGGCACAGCCTGACTCCCTCCCTCGGCAATCTTCGCGGAGCTCTGGCCCAATGGTTGCCAGTGGCTTGAATTAATTAATTTTATAATGAATGATTTTAAAGTGTTGTTTATGCTGTACTTTTGTACTGTTTTATTGTTGTTAGCCGCCCTGAGCCCGGCTTCGGCTGGGGAGGGCGGGATATAAATAAAATTTATTATTATTTATTATTATTGGGTTATTTGTGGGGCATAGGAATTAGTTCATTTTCCCACCTTCAAAATATAGTCCGGCCCCCCACAAGGTCTGAGTGACAGTGGACCAGCCCCCTGCTGAAAAAGTTTGCTGACCCCTGATCTTAGGGGCAGTCTTTGAGTCACTGCAACAATATATTTAGTATGTTTATTGAGGTATTCTGTATATATATTTTTCAGGTGCTCCTAACACCTGTAACAGATATCTTGGAACATACAGCATTCATTCATTCATTACATTTATGGCCTACATTTCTTTTGTCATTTAAACAAGGCACGATACACAGTTTTCAGGTGGTCTCCCGTCCAGACACTCACACTGACCAGAGCAAACAACCGAAACCCAAAGAGGCACTTCCTTCTCTCAGACCTCACCTTTCTCCTATTTTTGCTTGTTACAAGATCTCTAACCTGGGTCCTTGATATGTGTGTTTGTGGGAGAGAATACCCAATTTTTGTGTGTGCATGAGTTAAAGGTTAGTCTGTGTTATGTACTAAGCTTGGATCCTAGAACAATAGGCAGGCAGGATCCTAGAATGCAACCACCTCATTGGCCTGCAGGAGCAGCCCAATCAGACCGCAGGAGGAAGTTAATCAGCCTATTAGGCCAGTAGGATCCTAGAATGCAACAACTGATTGGCCTGCAGGAACAGCCCAATCAGGCTCCAGGAGGGAAGCAGAATCAGCCAATCAGACGAGACTCATTGTGTAAATAACGTATATAAAGCCTGAGGTTTTGGGGGAAATTTCATTCACTGTTTTATGAGCGGCAATAAAGAGCATGAAATCACTATGCGACTCCGAGTATATTTCAGTCTTCTTAGGGAGGATAATTCATTCCAATTTCTATTCCTCATTTCTAGTGTTGACGGAAAAACCTGAGGGCTGCCTTGGACAAAAACAAAGACACCAACCAGGATAACTTGGAGCAAAACAGCAGCCTGTAGGCTTGGCCTTTATTGAATACTGTCGCAAAAGGACTCCCACCCGCAACAAGATGAAGCAAAATGGAAGCCCAGAACAAAAGAAGACCCCAACTTTTATTAGTTACTAATCCCCCAAACTACACCCCTAAGACTACATCACAACTACACCACAACTACATCACAAAAAGAAGGGGTTGAGGGAGGAGTTGTGGTGGTAACCTGAGTGTCCTGTCACCTGGCTGGTTCCTCCTTTCCCCCCTCCCCATGAGTACTTTCCAGGTGACAGAGGGGAGTTTGCAGTTTCCTGCCCCCAGAGGGAAGAGCTGATCATTGTCCTTTGTTCCAGTCCGTGCTGAATCCACTCCTATATGCAAGTCCTTTGTGACCTTAATGGTCTTCTGTCTAGGACCATCAGGGTTGGCATAGCAACTGGGCAGGGCTCCTGTGTATGTGCTGGTATGCTCAAGGGATTATGGCTGTCCTGTATCAAACCTTCCCCATTTTGTAGTCCTTCCTTCATGGAGTAAAATAAAAGTGGAACAGTGCAGATCCGATGTATGGTTGATTTTCTATGAATTTATAACAGAAGCGTAGCATATGTAGTGTGTGTGTGAAGTTTCTACAAACTGAATGATTGGGGGGGGGGGTTTCCTGCAACACTAGGGAGAGAATACCTGTGACATTTGGTTAGCAAATCAAGCTTTGAACATCCATTTTTGCTTTGGTTGTTTATCCTCAATAAGCTTGTCATAGACAAGAACTGCTTGAAGTTCCAACAGGAAATCCAACAGGAAATGGGGGCTGCTGGTTCCGAATATTTAGCTATACTGCTTTACTTGAGAAAACACTTAAATATATCATATTGGGGAAGTTTATTCATCCTTAATATCCATGCAGAAGAGTTGGACAAGTAACACAACTAACTTTTCTGTCTCAGTAACAGATTTGTGCTGCAGCTGGGAAAATACAACCCTAGTATCAATCTCCCTGGCTCCCCCACCCACTTTATTTCCACATACAGTGGTACCTCGGGTTAAGTACTTAATTCGTTCCGGAGGTCCGTTCTTAACCTGAAACTGTTCTTAACCTGAACCACCACTTTAGCTAATGGGGCCTCCCGCTGTTGCTGCGTGATTTCTGTTCTCATCCTGAAGCAAAGTTCTTTTTTAAAAAATTATTTATTAAGTTTTCCACAATTATACCCCATAACAGAGCAAATAACACAAAAGGAAAGAAAAAAAAGAAATAGAAAATGCTTCAAAAAGAAAGAAAGAAAACAGTACAATAAACATCTTATCCACCACCATAAAAGAAATAAACAATCAGAACCAACTTACTCCTTTAAAGAACCATACTTATTTACATATTAGTTGACTTCCTCCATTCCCTCTCTTCTGAATTTCCATGTATATATATGTAACAGCTTTCCAATATCATTGTTAAACCAAAATATTCCCAGTTTTTATCTAACTTATTCATTCTTCTTACTTTCTGAACCCCATTTATTTAGTAAATCCTACTTTAATCCTAGGCCTATTTGGTACTTTCAAGTGATTTCTAATTTTTTATGTTACAATATTTATTCAAATAGTCTTTAAATTTCTTCCAATCTTCTTGGTATTCCTCTTCTTTTTGGTCACGGATTCTTCCAGTCAGGTCAGCTAGCTCCAAGAAATTCATCATCTTCATTTGCCAATCTTCAACAGTAGGTGCCGTATTTTTTGCTCTATAAGACTCACTTTTTCCCTCCTAAAAAGTAAGGGAAATGTGTGTGCGTCTTATGGAGCGAATGCAGGCTGCGCAGCTATCCCAGAAGCCAGAACAGCAAGAGGGATTGCTGCTTTCACTGCGCAGCGATCCCTCTTGCTGTTCTGGCTTCTGAGATTCAGAATATTTTTTCTTGTTTTCCTCCTCCAAAAACTAGGTGGTCTGGTG